ATATAATTCTGGTTTGGTGGTGATGAACTCCTTTAGCTTTTTTTAATTAGTGAAGCTCTTTATCTGACCTTCGATTCTGAGTGATAGCTTTGCTGAATAGATTATCTTTTTTTTAATATTTATTTATTTTTTAAAATATATTTTATTGATTTTTTTGCCCCCCTCCTTCCCTTCCACACATCCCCTCCCTCCCCAGAGTTTTATGTCCATTGGTTGTACTTATATGCATGTATAAAAGTCCTTTGGTTGATCTATTGAATAGATTATCTTTGGCTGTAGGTTCTTAATATTCATCACCTTGAATATTTCTTGCCATTCCCGTCTGGCCTGCATGGTTTCTGTTGAGAAATCAGCTGACAATCGTATAGGTGCTCATTTATAGGTTACTACCTTCTTTGCTCTTGCTGCTTTTAATATTCTCTCTTTGTCTTTTGCTCTTGGAATTTTAATTATGATTTGTCTTGGTGTGGTCCTCTTTGGATTCCTTTTGTTTGGAGTTCTGTGTGCTTCCTGGACTTGTAAGTCTAATTCTTTCACCAGGTGGGGGAAGTTTTCTGTCACTATTTTTTTCAGTATGTTTTCGATATCTTGCTCTCTCTCATCTTCTGGGACGCCCATAATTCTGATGTTTGTTCGCTTGAAGTTGTCCCAGAGGTTTCTTACATTATCTTCAATTTTCTGGATTCTCTTGCTTTCTAGCTTCTGTGGAGGAGTGTCTTCTGGCTCTTTATGTTCCAAATCTTTGACTTGATTCTTGCGATCTTCCATTCTGTTTTTAGGACTCTGTATAATATTTTTTATTTCAGACAATGTATTCTTTATTTCTTGTTGATCCCTTATCATTTCTTGTTGATCCCTTATCATTTCTTGTTGATCCCTTATCATTTCTTGTTGATCTCTTATCATTTCTTATTGATTCCTTATTAATTCTAGTTGATCTCTTTTCATATCCTCATAGGTCTTATCGATCTTTTCTAATCCAGTCGCTTTTTGTCCTCCATTTCTTTCGTTTGTGATCTATTTTGTTGTCGCATTTCGCAGCTACAGATGGGGTGGAGTTTCAGGGTGGAGCCTACAGCCTTGGCTTCCGTCAGCCCCGCCCTATGCGGTTCCTGGGTCTCAGTAATCCCCAGGGTCCTTCAGTTGCAAGCGCCTCTGAGAGAAAGGTGCCCTCAATTTTCGCCTGCTACCAGTCTAGGCTCTCCCCCAGTGAGCCCGGAACTGGGGTTCAGTTCAGTTGGTAGTGGGATTGGAGGTGGCATTCAGAGCAGTCTGGAGCCCCTGTCTCCTTCCCGCCAAGGCAATCCCGTGGCACAGCCAACTGTCCCTTCTCTGCGCGCAATGTGCGCGCCACTGGGACCTCCTTTCGCCACTCCCCCGGGGTTCCACCTTGCAGCCCAGCTCCCTCTGGATGAGCCTGGGTCCCCGGGGTCTGGCCTAGAACTGGGGTTCAGAGCAGTCGGAACTGGGGCCCAACACAGTCAGAGCTTTTATCTCCTTCCCGCTAGGGAACGCCAGTCAGGCACTCAGCCTCCCTCCTCTCTGGCTCCATCCTCTCCGCGCACCGCGTGTCTCCATACCTTAGGCTTTTACAACTCCGCTGCACTTCCTTCTGGTTTTCTCCTTGCTTCTCTTGTAGAATTTCCAGTCAGTCGACTTTCCTGTAGTTCTGGGTAATGTCCATTTTATATTTTAGTTGTATTTTATTGAAATTGTTGTGTGCAGCTGCGGCTAGGTGTTTACCTGGGCAGCCATCTTAGATTCTCCGCACTTCAACATTTTATGTAATACTGGTTTGGTGGTGATGAACTCCTTTAGCTTTTTCTTGTCTGAGCATCTCTTTATCTGACCTTCAATTCTAAATGATAGCTTTTCTGGATAGAGTAATCTTGGTTGTAGGTTCTTGCTATTCATCAGTGAATATTTCTTGCCACTCCCTTCTGGCATTCATAGTTTCTGTTATGAAATCAGCTGACAATTGTATGGGTGCTCCCTTGTAGGTAACTAACTGCTTTTCTCTTGCTGCTTTTAATATTCTCTCTTTGTCTTTTGCTCTTGGCATTTTAATTATGATGTGTTTTGGTATGGGATTCTTTGGGTTCCTTTTGTTAGGACTCTCTGCACTTCCTGGACTTGTAAGTCCATTTCTTTCACCAGGTAGGGAAGGTTTTTCATCATTATTTCTTCAAATAAGTTTTCAATATCTTGCTCTTTCTCTTCTTCTGGCACCCCCATGATGCGAATGTTGGTACACTTGAAGTTGTCCCAGAGACTCCTTATACTATCTTCATATTTTTGGATTACTTTTTCTTTTTGCTCTTCTGATGAGGTGTTTTTTACTTCTTCATATTTAAAATCCCTGATTTGAGTCTGGGCATCCTCTACTGTTGATTCTCTATAAATTATTCTTAATTCCAGTCAGTGTATCCTTCATTTATTTTTTAAATATATTTTTATTTATGCCAGACAGGAAGGGAGAGAGAGAGAAACATCAATGATGAGAGAGAATAATTGACTGGCTGCCTCCTGCATGCCCCACACTGGGGATCAAGTCTGTAACCCGGGCATGTGCCTTTGACCAGGAATTTGTTTTCTGTTCAGGCAGCTTCAAAATTCAGAAAATGCCTTAAGGGGCAGATATGCCTGTGTCTGAGGCAGAGACTTTTATCTGGAAGGATACTATGGGCTCAACACCACAAGCTGACGAGAGTCCCGTGGCTGTGGCAGCATCAGGTCAGCCTCGTGGCCTCGCTCAGGCCCCAGAGATTGGCAGTGTCCCTGTGCCCTGTGCTGGCACTCACCAGCTCTGCTGATTTCTCTCTCTTAGGAGAGCCCCTCCTTCTGGGTGAAGCCTGAGGGTCAGCCCACACCCAGACATGACTAACTCCCCAAAGGATGAGAGCACAGACACAACACTCATAGCATCTCAGAAGGGCTTTGCTCTCCAGACGTTTCTGTCTGGTCTCCATGCTTCCACAGCTCTCTACTGTCATGTAGGACATATTCTTACACTTGAACATTGTGATAAAGCACACGCCACATGCAGTTTGCTAATGCCTTTTAACCCGTGCGTGTTGTCATTGGCCTGGCCTTTGCTAGCTGACCTCCCATGAGCATGTCCCTCGGAAGTGGGAACTCGATCTCCTGGTTTTCGTCAGAAGAGGTCACTAGACCGTCACGTCTCAGAGGTCAGGACTGTGGGTGCAGAACAGGCTGCGTGGCTCCTGTTCTGGCTCCAAAGTTGTCCATGGCGAGGCTGTGGGGAGGTCCCAGCTCTGTGGTTGTCCAAGGAGGGCGGGACCAGCCCGCTGCCCCACATGGCTGAGATATCACGGCCGATGACACCACGTGGGCACTACGAGGGCAGGACAAGGCGCACTAGCCACGCAGGGAGGCCCCAAGCTGGCCTCCGTGGACTGAGTGGAGAGAGGGGACCATGCTTCTGTTAGGGGAGGAGTCTGGCCTTCGGGTGCCTGAGAGGCTGGGGTTTAAGTGGTTTTATTTCCCCACGAGGGGCAAATGGGCTTTCTCCTTAGTTCACCATGTGTGTACTCAGGGTGGCAGGGAGAGGGGCCTGAAAAATTTCCGTGGTCCAACACAAACAATGGAGTCCGGGTCATGTGGCATTTATTCTCTGTGCTTCATTTATTTAAAAAAAAATTTTAAATTGATTTTAGAGAGGAATGAAGAGGGAGATAGAGAAACAGTGAGGTGAGAGAAAAATATCACTTAATTGCTTCTTTTTTTTTTTTTTTAAAGTTTTCCCCATTCTTTTTTAAAAATATATATTTTATTGATTTTTTACAGAGAGAAAGAGAGAGGGACAGAGAGTTAAAAACATTGATGAGAAAGAATCATTGATCAGTTGCCTCTTGCACATCCCCTACTGGGGATGTGCCCACAACCAAGGTACATTCCCTAGACCAGAATTGAACCCTGGCCTTTCAGTCCACAGGATGCCGCTCTATCCACTGAGCCAAACTGGTTTCGGCACTTTGTTGCTTCTTGAATGCACTCATTCAACTGGGGATCGAACCCACAACCTGGGCACGTGCCTCTACTGGGAGTCAAACTGATGACCTTTTGGTGCACTGGCAATGCTCAGCCAACAGAGCACAGCGGCTAGGGCTCTGCGTCGCTCCTGTCCGTCACCAGGGCTGCTGTGAGCCAGTAGTGAGGGCCAGCATGGTGCCAGAGCCACATGAGAGCACACAGAGGGGCTGCCTTTGGGTCTGGCTGCTTCAGCAAAGATAATGGGGCCACACCTGCCCCCGCTGAGCCCGCAGCGGGTTTGTGCAGACCCACTCACCCAGCCTCACCAGTCCCATCTCCGGGGCTGTTACTGCTCGCAGACCATTTCCTGGCCACTTCACAGGCACGGACCCTGAGGTGTTGGGAGGAGGGGAGTCATTCTGGCTGTTCAGCCGGTTGGCATAGGAAACACACAGGGAGTCTGGGAGTGAAGGGCAGGTCAGCGCTGGCAGAGGGCACCCAGGAAGGGGTCTCAGAATTGAGTGTGGCTACAGGTGCTACTCCAATGCCTGCTGCCCGCCCCATCCCACCGCCACAGAGGAGTATAAACAGATAAACACGCCAACACAGCAATGGGGTCTGGGCAAGGGATTTATTACATTCTGAAAGGATAGACAGACATCACCCAAGGACCATTGCACGAACAGAACTGGGGCTGTGCCGTCCCAAGCAGATGTCCACAGGGAGAAGGTGTCCATGGGCTGGGCTCGGGGACAGGCCTTCGCTGTAGGTGGGAGACAGAGCTCCGCGAGACATTCCTGGGCACAGCTGCTGTGGCATTTCCTGAGGAGGTCAAAGAGACTGCTCACCAGTGGCAAGGGAGGAGGACAGTAATAGGGCTCTGGGGTGGAGAGGGACAGTCTCCTTCAGGGGATGCTGGGGAAAGGCAGGTGAGGGCTAGGCTGGAACCCACATTCCTGACCCGGGATGGCATTGACTTTGGGAAGAGTCCCAGCAAAACCCAAAAATCAGATCTTGCACTGGCAGCAGACGGGGGCACAGCAGCTGGACTGGCAGCAGCAGGGTTTGCAGCAGCTGGACTGGCAGCAGCAGGGTTTACAACAGCTGGACTGGCAGCAGCAGGGTTTGCAGCAGCAGACAGGCTCACAGCAGGGTTTGCAGCAGCTGGACTGGCAGCAGCAGGGTTTGCAGCAGCAGACGGGCACACAGCTCCCCTTGCAGCCTCCACAGCTGGAGCCACAACCCCCTTTACTGCAGCTGGAGCAGGAACAGGCTGGCACACAGCAGCACACGGGCTTACAGCAGCAGACGGGCACACAGCAGCTGGAGCCACAGCCCCCCTTGCAGCCCCCACAGCTGGAGCCACAGCCTCCCTTGCAACCACCACAGCTGGAGCCACAGCTCCCCTTACAGCCCCCACAGCTGGAGCCACAGCCCCCTTTACTGCAGCTGGAGCAGGAACAGGCTGGCACACAGCAGCACACGGGCTTACAGCAGCAGACGGGCACACAGCAGCTGGAGCCACAGCCCCCACAGCTGGAGCCACAGCCCCCGGAGCAGCCACAGCCGGTCATGGTTCTGGTGGTTGAGGGTGGAGCAGGTAGAGGAGCAGGTGGAGAGGGAGGTGGTGAGGTGTGGAGCCTCCTGGGCCGGGGGCCTTTATATACCGCTGGGGTCAGGGGTCAGGTGAGATGCTGGGCACATTGTCGCTTCCTGCTTCCCTTTTGTGCCATATTTAGGAACTCTTTTACCTTGTTTTCCTAGATTTTAGGTCCATGTGCCATTTCCTGCTATCAATTGCTCATCCTGTCATAAGTTCCAGTGCACTTTCATTGCCTGGAGTCTGATTTGATTTAATATATATATTTCAGAGAGGAAGGGAGAAGGAGAGATAGAAACATCAAGATGAGAGAATCGTTGATCTGCTGCCTCCTGCATGGTCCACACTGGGGATGGAGCCCGAAACCAGGGCACGTGCACCACTGGGAATCAAACCATTGACCGCCTGGTTCATAGGTCGATGCTTAACCACCGAGCCACACTAGCCAGGGCTCCATTCTAAGCATGCATCTGTAGCTGTCCCTTGGCTTCCTATGGACACGCATGTGTGTTTTTTTTTTTTTTTTTTTTGTGTGTGTGAATTACTGGTTATTCCCCTTTTCCATCTCTATAGCTTCTATTTCTCTGTGGGCTTTACCGTGCTGTGAGAGCCTTGCCTCATTCCCGATGTTAAAGGTGACACTTCTCACCTGTTGCCATTCGGGGAAACGCCTTTTGTGAACATTTAGTAGAAAATGTTGTCAGGATAAGGGAGGCCCCTTTGTTCCCAATTTGGCAGCACTCTTTCCTCTGTCCTCAGCGGGTGCTGACCTTCACTGAGTGCCTGTCTGTAGCCGCTGAGACAGTCAGATAGCCCCCTCCTGCGGTTACGATGGCGAATTTCATGATGAATGTAAACATGCAGTATCTCATGTCCCTGGGCGTCATCCCAGGGGCTGGCACACGGTTTTGGGTGAATAACGAGATGGCAGGGCTTCCGCTCCTCCCAACGACCCCTCCTGTGGCACCTGTGCGCTGGGGGTGGCCCGCACGTCCTGCGTGTGGAAACGCTCGCCCAACGAGGGGCTGCTCGTTCCTCGACCCCTGGGTAGAACCTGCCGGTGACGTGATCTCCAGGGAGCCCGGGGATGGCGGAGGTTTGCTCACGAGGCGCAGAGAGCAAACCTGTCCCTCGTCATTTACGTTTCTTCCTCAGGTGAGATGACGGGTCATCCAGGTTTTCCGGTGGGTGGTTCCCACGGCTCTTGTTTGAGTTCCTGCCAGAGGGGGGCGTCTGTGCTTCCTCCTCTCCTTCCTCCTTCCCTTTCTGGCCTCTGATCAGTTTCGCTCAATGGTGTCATTTTCCTTAGCTTTTCAAAGACCAGCTTTTAATGGTATAGACCCCCCTTTATGGTTTGTTTAAAATTTGTTTATTTATATTTCCTCCGACTCTATTATTTTTCTCTGTTCTTGTTTTTCTACTCTCTTAATGTGAATACTTTACTCATTCATCTTCAATCTTTCTTTTTCTGGCTCAAGCATTTAGGGCTAGGCATTACTTTATTTTATTTTTATTTTTTAAATTATATTTTTATTGTTTTTAGAGAGGAAGAGAGAGGAGGAGAGAGACAGAAACATCAATGATGAGCGAGAATAATTGATCAACTGCCTCCTGCACGCCCCCTTCTGAGGATCAAGCTTATAACCCAGGCTGAAATCCTTCAGTCTGTAGGCCAATGCTCTATCCACTGAGCCAAACCATTATTTTAAAGTAAGGTTTAGTTAGGTAGACCAAGTCTTGGTACCTAGTATCTTCATGATCAGTCAGTTCTAACTATTGTCTCTTTTATTTTAAATCCTCACTCGAGGATGATTTTTAGAGAGGAAGGGAGAGAGAGAGAGAGAGAGAAAGATTGACCAGTTGCCTCCTATACCCAATGGGGGATTGAACCCGAAACCTGGGCACATGCCCTTACCAGAAATTGAACCCACAGCCTTTTGGTTCATGGATGCCGCTTCAACCAACAGAGCCACACCAGCAATTGCTGTCATATGGTTTAAAAAAAAAAAAAAAAAAATATATATATATATATATATATATATATATATATATATATATATATATTTGTATTGATTTCAGAGAGGAAGAGAGAGGGAAAGAAAGAGAAACATCAATGATGAGAGAGAATCATTGATCGGTTGCCTCTTTCAGGCCCCCCACTGGGAAGGAGCCCCCAACTAGAAATCAAACTGTGACCTCCTGGTACATAAGTTGATGCTCACTCACTGAACCACGCATCTTTTTGCTCTGATTTATAAGTTATCTACTATATTCCCTGTTTCAGTGACAACCCTATCATTTCATACTTAAATTTTATTTATTTGTTTATTTCTCCTGTCTTAGACAAGACTCTCTAAATATAATGACACCTTGTCGAAACCAGTTTGGTTCAGTGGATAGAGCGTCAGTCTGTGGACTGAAAGGTCCCAGGTTCGATTCCAGTCAAGGGCATGTACCTTGGTTGTGGGCACATCCCTGGAAGGGGGTGTGCAGGAGGCAGCTGATAGATGTTTCTCTCTCATCGACGTTTCTAGCTCTCTGTCCCTCTTCCTTCCTCCCTGTGAAAAATCAATAAAATATATTTAGAAAAAAAAGATAATTAACTTAAAAAATAAATATAATGATGCCTTTTTCTGCCCCACCCCGAGTAGTGCCAGGAACTGGGCAGACACCTGCTCACCCCTTCATCATGGTTGGATGCCCAGGGCTCACTGTTTGTTTACACAGTCGCGTGCTCAGAGTTTGGCTGGTCTGCTGGTTGGGGTGAGTGGGCTGCATTTAGATCTGTTTTAGGGCATGTCTCACAGTGGTGCCAACTCTGCTGGGGGGACTTCCCCAAGGCACCCGCTCCACCCTGAGGGAGGCCCCTCCACCACACCTCCCTGGATCCTCCCCCTTCCTCCCTCCTTCAAGTTCTTTCCCAGCAACTCCCTGGGCTGCCCTGGGCCTGTCCGGGGCTGCCCTGTCCACAGCGAGTCAGGTCCGGTCTCTCCTGCAGAGGCTGTGCCCCGAGGATGGTGGCGCATGGAAATCCATACGTTGGGGCTCGCCTGGTCTTGGCATCAAAGTCAGCCAGGAGTTCTGGTTCTAGCTGGCTGCTTTGCCTGCCTCTGTGTGTGCACATGCTCATACAGAAAACTCATGCTTCCGCTAATGCCACTTTCCTAAACCCCAAAAGCCATGATCTTAAATAAGATTTTCTTTCAAGACCAGCGATAAACACTACCATGCTCCCCGGCTAGACGGGACCTCTGCAGGACTTACATCCTCTCCTAGATATTGCTGAAAATATCTGACAGTGTGTATCTAGATTATCCCCCCCCCCCCCCCCTGTCTCAGGAACCCCTTCCTCAGCCTTGGACCTGTCCCTCCATCCTGTTCCCAGCCGAGCTCACCAGGTGCGTGGCTCAGCGTGGTTCTGGCTTTGGCACATTTATTCAAGGTCCATTTGGCTACAGAACCTCCTCAGTAATGCTGAGTCCCTCCTCCCCAGAAACGGTGCAGTTTCCAGAGCCCTGCTTAGGAGACCTGGTCCAAGGACAGTCCCACTGCAGGCCGATCCCCACGGCAGTCCCCTGAGTTTCCCCAGATGTACAGTGGTCTTGCTTTCCCAGAAGACACTGGTCCAGGGCTCTATGAGGCGACCCTATGCTTTCAATCTAAACTCTTAAGTGTGTGTTTGATGGAAGGTGGACTGAGGCTCCGTGGGCGGGGATCCCTCGACCTTGGGACCCTCCAGGACCAGCCCTTCTATCCCAAGACTTGGGAGGAGAGAATAGGGAGGGACTTGGGAGGAGGGAGGGAGGAGGGAGGAACTTGAAAGGAGGAAGGTGGGAGGGAGGAGCTGTTCCTCATTGACTGGCGACTGGCGCTCCCACAAGTCCCAGGTGGTTGTGGGTACCCAGACCAGTTTGTCTGCCTGGCAGTGTCCCCCAGTGCCCACTGCTCTAGTGGAGCACTCTTGTCCTGGAAAGTCAATGACCTTGGGCAGCTGCTGGGGAGATAGAAGCCAGTGGGTGGTTCTTTTTTAAAAAGTGTATGTTTTTATTTATTTCAGAGAGGAAGCGAGAGGGAGAGAGAGATAAAAATATGATGAGAGCCCTGTCGGTGTGGGCCCTCTCTCTTCATTGATGTTTCTCTCTCTCCCTCCCCCTTCCTCTCTGAAATCAATTTAGAAAGGCACATCAATGATTGAGAAACATCCTTCAGCTGCCTCCTCCACATTCCCTACTGGAGATCAAGCCCAAAACCTGCGCATGTGCCCTGACCAGGAATTGAACTCTGACCTCCTGGTTCACAGGTTGATGCTCAACTACTGAGGCCCACAACCTGACAACCGTGCCAGGCACGCCGCATGGACCCGGCAGCGGGGACGGACCGAGTCACATCTACGAGGGGGTTAGTGATGCGTCCCCCCAGGAAAGAATGGCACCAAGAATACAGTTGGCTACAGGAACACAGAAGTTTTATTAAGAGAAATTCAGTTATTTTTTACAGAAAGAGTGGAAGCAAAGGAGGAAGGAAAGCCTCATAGGGGGTGGAGGGCGGGGAAGGAGGACGTGGCCAGGACAGGCCAGGGCCCTGGTGGCTGAGGAGCCAGGTGCCAGCAGCCCTCGGCCATCACTCAGACATGCCCTGGCTGTGCAGGGTTGTCCAAGCATCTCAGCCGCCAGGAGGGGCAGGGAACAGCCACGCACCAGCCAGGGCACAGTCTCGGTTGTCAGCTGGTGCGTGTCAGCTCGGTTGTCAACTGCCTCCAGGCACCTCCAGTGACCAGGACTCACTGCCCTTGAGGGAGGAGGACGGAGAAGGCCGGGAGCGCTGAGCACAGAGGGGGCAGAGCATGAATGAGGGGAAGGAGGAGGTTGAGGTGCAGCAGGGAGGACCTGATTCAAGGGATCCACAAACACTGAGACTGAAGGTCTGGGTTCAGAGCCTCAGATCTTGCACTGGCAGCAAATGGGGGCACAGCAG